AATTCACTCCAGTTCACCAGGTCCCAAAATTTTGATAGCTAAAAAGTTTGGTCTGATCAAATATGTTTTCTTTTTTTGAACAATCACCAGGGGGAGAGGGTGACCACCTGAATATATTACTCAAAGAACGCCCAAGGGCGAGTTACATCATAGATTACAGCGAGAGGAGAGGTACAAGGGCCAAGACATGGCAGCCCCCTACTTATAGGGTGATTAAATATGTTGTGATGAAACATCTTCGAGTATTGTGGTTATTAGTCTCAATTACTCTTATATGTTCTTTCTTATATGTTTGCACCAGATTCAAGCACCAGTTCTATAGAATTGGAATGAAAAACACTCGCGTCTAAGCACTTGCGATCCTCATAATAGCAAGTTTGTAATAAATTCTGGAACTCCTCTGAAGGCTAAAGTTAGCAAAGATAGCATATTCACCTATATTGAAATAATTGTACATAAGTGCCATCAAGAATTAGGGCAGGTCGTAAAGCAAGATAGATGCGCACCAGACCGCCTCAAGAGACGCGCCCGGGGCGCATCCCAGCCACTAGTCCTATTTGAAAGGTTTTTGAATGTGCTTTTGTCAAAAGTGAAAGTGAAATGTGAAACAACCATTGATCTCGTTTCATCCCCAAGAGCAAGACAACGCAGTGGAAAATGAACCTAGATGTCGCCTATATGTCAGAGACCTTATTATGCATGTTGAGGTAATCTGAATAAGATATACATGATCCATCTCGAATTAGTGCGACAACTCACCATCAAGGATTATCTATCTTACCATCCAGCGTTAGCCTATGGAATATGGGCAATTAAAGTTTCTGCCTGAAGGGGGAGGGGGGGGTCGACTCTCTTTTGTCCCGACATTTCTCTTTTTTTTGGAGGTGAACCCTACATTTCTCTTTAGTGCCCACTATGAGAGCTGTGAAAGCTTCCCGGCCCATCTCCACTCTTTTTCCGGTGGTGTTGTCTGCTTGCATGGGAGTGGGAGTGGCGGTTGAATTTGTATATAATATGGGTAGGTGTAAGTCTAGTTTTGCTCAGCTTTGGAGAGGTTTAGTGTCATGTCGTAGACGAGTGTTATGTCATGTTAGAATTGAACTCCAATGTCGGCCAGCGGCATCGGTCCTTCCTCTCAGCATTCATGGTGACCGGCGAGGCGAAAAGGAAGATCCATTGCGCTCCCTCCCAATAGGCCTGTCAAAGTGTCAGATCTTTTACAGCCCCATACTCTCCCCTCTTTCTCCATTGCCATGTAGGTGAAAGTTGGAGGGAGGCTAGATCAATGTGTTGTCCTCGGATCTGGCGCTTCCAGAGATTTGGAAGCAGCCTTAGACTTCCACTATTTCATCCTCTATGACTAAATTGACCATGGTTGTCATAATAGTATATCAAATAATGTAGATTCTTCAACCCCCTTCGTGAAGCCCTCTTTCCCTTGGCTGCAGAAGGACTATATTGCAATTAAGTTTCTATCTTCGTGTTCTTGCAAGAAGAGATGGCATGGAGCTTGGATGGTGTGTGCTTTGCGATGAGATGAGAGTGCGTGGACTTTTATAGTCATGATCACATCGATGGAAGTGACAGTTGTGGAAGCGAAGGCTGTCTGGCAGACAAGTTACCGCGGACCCAAATGGAAGTGTAGGTGCCAATTTGGAGCAAAAAAGACATATTTGACTCTTTTTGCGAAATTTGGCATGAAATGACCCGATATGAATAAAAAAGTACAAATTGACCCTTTTTGGCAACTCTGTAGACCCTGAAGTTGCTGCTATATTGTGCAGCTCCATACCCCATAGCTTTTTCCTGTTGTAAAATGAATAGGTGAAACAGCTATAGCTAGTTGGATAGCTGAATTAATAGTTGTTCTGATTAAATTGCCCGAGTTGCACATTTGTATAACCCTCTTAGAATAACATGAGTTGGATTTCGATGGTTTTATCTTGGACATCGCTACCTCATTCTAGATTTCCTTAACTGAAGGATGGATTGCATTTTGAAAACATGATGGGATAGGAAACAAGCGGCGAATGTTTCGACAATGAAAATAAGACACACATTGCCCATACAAAGTACACAAAATAAATAAGAGATGGGTTATTTAAAATAAAATGGCAGAAGCAAGGGGTAGGCATTTGTGGCAATGGCAGATGATGGTCTTTCACGTGCCACTTCAAGATATTTTGCTTGTACTCATGGCAAGATAACTTTTAATTTTGAGAAAGAAATTTCCTTGAATTCCAACTACCGTGCCAAGTTAATTAGGTTGCTTTTATTTTGGTACTGCATGGAAAGTATACAATGCATTAATTCTAGCTAGCCGGTGATGGCACTATACAAGGAGCAAGTCAAGTGGCAGCTAAAACCAATGCACATGTGAAATATTAGAGTGGGCACATGCTTTTAATTTCCTTTCAAATTGTGCTTTCTTTCAAAAGTGAAAGTGAAGTGCTAAGGATCCAGCTATCTCGCTTCACCACGAAATGAGGCTAAACGTTGAAAGTGTGCCTAGCTATCGCCTCTTGGTGATAATGTACCAGGAAGATATATCTCTACTTCTATAAAATACTCAGTTGGTGACGATGGTGCATCCGTCATCCATCATTTTTGACCAGTAGATTTGCATCTAACGGCTATGAGGTAAGTTGTGGTCTTTTTGCAACAATAGTCCACCTCTCTGCTCCAATTTGCAGAAAACCCTTTAGTATCTCGAAACCACCACATCCCTTCCTCACCTCATCAAAATAGCCCGAGAAATATATTTTGAGTGAAACAATTTTTAGTGATATATGTATATCGAAACTAGAGTGTTTTCTTTCAAATTTGTGCACAAGTATTATTCTACTTTGGGTCCGTTGGAACGCACGGGCACATTGCTAGTACTATATGATCACAAAGATATATAAGATCCATTCCATCTGGGGTAAGTGTGGCTCACACTACCGATCAAATATTACATATAGTATACTGCATGGGGATCATAGAAAATGAGTTGGGAAGTCGAATGAATAGTATGATTTATATTTTTAAAATCAAATCATATTTATATTAAGGAGTGAAAACACTTTGTCTTATCGAGGAAAACACGCTTAATTTTGTCCTTGCTCTATGATGCACCCTGCCGAGTCGCCATTTTCGGCGCAAGACGACAAGAGCTGAGAAGAACAATAGAAGCAGGATATGAGCTTTTGAACCAAGTGGCCACGGTCTCTTTTAATTAGGGTAAATCTCTGCATGCAAAATACCACTCCATTGGTTCGATAGATGATGCGTAGCATCCCCATCCTCTGCATCGTAAGTATGTGCTTTGATTAATTAGCAACCGAGTTGTCAATATTACCGCACCATTTGGCGCTAAAGAATCCGGTGACCACACATTAAAGCTGCACCATCTGATTGTTAACTTGACCATGACCCGCTGCACATGCACCACACATACACAAATGCTCTGGTCCCCAACACCCAAAACCATGTACATTTCAGTCACCAGCTAGCCGATGAATCTTTGGCCAGAGGAAAGGTAGATCTTTGAGAGAAGACGATACACATGATAAAAGGCCATCCATCATCACAAAAGAGCAGATATACTATTTAGATACGAGATGCAAAGTATATGCATGTCTGTATGATGTGCCCATCTTCAAATATACGATGATGATCTTATCCCCAACGTTACCTGGTTAGGCACCTTTGCCGAAAAGTTCCTTTGTTCATGTTCCTCCACATATATGCCAATCGTTCCACAATTTCCTCTAGTGCGCAGCTGTACCGATCATGCAAGGACCTGGTTTTCCATGTTTGTCCATGTAATGAACTATTTCTCTTTGAAACTTTAATTGAAACCCTAGCTTTAAGTCTCTTGATCTGGTGGGTCATCGTTTGATGTTTTATCCTGAATAGCTGATGTCAAGTTTGTCTTGGTCAGTGGTTTTCCCGTTTTGATTTTATGCTTTAAGTCTTCTTCCCCGACCAGATTGCGGCGAAACAGTAATAACTCGACAAACATATGTTTGGCTTGCATAAATATTAGTACATGTAGTCTCCATTTTCTTTTCTTTTGTGAGAACGGTTACCTTATACTCCCTCTGTTTCAAATTTGAACTAAACCACGACATGAATTACGGAACTAAGGGAGTTATAAAATAGGATACATGCATCAATTAATCGAAAGAGATTCCCTCTTTTTGAGGCAGAAAAATTAACTATCCTGCTGCAAAAGTTGAAGATCAAACGTTAAAGCTTCCAGCAGGTCTCATTCTTTCATAGTCCCTGACTATTTATCAGCTGACATAAATTTGTCTCAGCTAGACATCACGTCCACATCAGGCATCTTACTTGAACGGCAATCAAGCTAGACTCAGGATGTGTTATCCTTGCACTTTAGTTTTCCTTCGAATGATCTCCATCAGTCGAGTTGCTATCATGTTGTGCTGTAATGAATGGGCGAATCGATTCTGATGGAGACTAAAAGTTTTATTGACTAAAACAGATGAAGCACCCAAAACACAATGAAAAAGGCAATAGATTCCGCCCTGCAAATATTCGTACAGTCCAAACGAAATTGAAGTTTTCTTCGATTAATGGAGATGCTCAATTGGTTGGAGAAGAAGTGGACAAGAGGTAAATATCGCAAAAGGTAGAGAAATACACAATTACTAGCAGAGCATACAATTTATGTTTTGCTGGGTCGAATGCACCAAGCCAGCAATAAAGCCGAATTAAATGACAAATCTTAAGTAACACATAAGTTTTACTGTACAAAATCAACCAATGAACACAAATTGAATGTACAACGCGATCTAGCTAAAAAGCAGAGAGGGAGAGGAAAACAGGGCACAAGAACAACACTACAAACCTGATTAATTACAAACTAAGGTAAAAACGTGTCAGCGCCACCACCGGTCGGCGCCGCTAACTCGCCGCACCTCCCGCACCTGTTGTTTGCCGCCACCACGACCACCACCGTGGTCGTCGCTGGCGGCTGCGCGGGCATGGCAACGATGGGGGCACGACAGGAGGGGCATGTGGCACAGGTCCGGAGCCAGGCGTCGACGCATGCGACATGGAAACCGTGGCCGCACCGTGGGAGCACGCGCAGGGCCTCCCCCTCCATGAACTCCGCCAGGCAGATCGCACACTCTGACGACGAGCATGTCGCCGGCGTCGGAGAAGCCCCGTTGGCGGCGAAGGGGATGGTGGGGAGCGCGTGGATGGCCTTCTTCTTGAGGCCCTTTGGGGGAGGAGGGGCGTGATCGGAGTATGAGGCCGAGCGGCGGCGGCGGCATGTGCACCGGGAGACGAGGGCGAGTCCAAGGACACAGACGAGCGCACATAGCAACGATGCTAGGATGAGCACCATGTCCGAGTTCACCGCCATCACAGGCGCCGTCTGCTGCTGCTCAGGGGCCTTCATGCTCACCGGTGACGACGACGGCTCGCCCGTGACAGTGTTCGCGAGGGCGGCGCCGTGCAGGAGGCTCGCCGGGGCGCGCATGGTGTTGTTTCTCTGTGCCTAGCTATGGTGTGTGGACTGTGGACTCTGTATCTAGCTTATCTTCGACTCTGAGCGTGCGTGTGTGCGATGCTCTGCTCTGCTCTCGACGTGGATTTTTATAGGCGAAAATTTTGTTTTTGCCACTCTAGATTTTGCCAATTTTCTTTATGCCATTGTAAATTTTGACATTTCAGTTTTGCCACTCTTAGCTTTTGACAAATATCACAATTGCTATTATGTGGCAAATACAAATTAATTTTGTTTCACTTTTGCCACTCTAGCTTTTGACAATGTATCACAATTGCCACTCTAATTTATTTTGGTTTTGCCACATAATGGCAATTGTGATATTTGTCAAAGACTCAGAGTGGCAAAACTGAAATGTCAAAATCTAGAGTGGCATAAGAAAAATTATCAAAATCTAGAGTGGCAAAAATAAATTTTTCCCTTTTTATAGCGTGGAGGGGGTCATCCGGTCATGGTGGAAGGCAGAGCCAGCCAGCGGACAGGTAACGCCGGGGCCCACGGGGTAGTGGCGGGCGCCGATACAGCTCGTGCATGCCACTTTGGGGTGTTTCCTGCTGCACGCGTGGCTCCTTTTGATTTCTTTTTAGTAACAGAACTACGTGGATCCGTGGAAATTAAGCAAAGCACTAGAAATACCAGTAGTGATCAGTGGTAGAAATATCGGCTAAACGTCTGCTTTCCGAGAGAACCAGCCATGTGTGTTTGTGTATGTGTGAAAAGATGAGACACGCTTTACTTCTTTTGACCTATGCTTTCTTTTTTTGCTCCCAAAGAAGAAGAAAACCTGCGGTGCCAATTGATTTCTTGTGGTAAAGTGGACTGGCGAAAGGGATTCGAGGCACCCCTTTTTTGACTAATATACATAACATATCTCAAAAAAATTGCATAAACAAACTACCAATAATATGGTCTATCGGGGATATTTATAATAATGTCCCGTTGAAAAAATGCCATCTTGCAAAGACAAAGAAATTTGCCATGGTCCATATAGTAAAACTGTCACGATCCATAAACTACATTTGCCGTGCTCCATAAACTATATTTGCCATGGTACAATATAAAGTAGTTTTTTCCATGTCGTGATTTTTTTTCTTTTTGCCATGATGCATAAACTACATTTGCCATGCTACATGAATTTAAATTGCCATGGTCCCATAGAAAGTATTTTCTTGCCATGTTGCTAATAAAGAACACTTCCATGATCCATAAACTACAGTTGCCATGCTCCATGAACTTAAATTTCCATGGTTCCACAAAAATGACTTTGCTGCCATGTCGCAAAGAAATAAAATAGACATGATCCATAAACTAGAATTCCGTGCTCCATGAACCAAAATTGCCATGGTCCCATAAAAAATAATATATTTGCCATGTTGTAAAGAAATAAAATTGCCATGATACACAACCTACATTTGGCATGCTCCATGAACTTCAATTGCCATGGTACCCTAAAAAGTTATTTTTTTGTTTACCATGTTACAAAGAAAGAAAATTGCCATGATATACTATTAAAGACTTTACGATGCTACTATGGAGGAAAGAGTTTGCCATGGTTTGTTACACTAATTTGTCGTCAAGGTATATGAATTTGACCATCAGATTTCATGAGAAACTAAAATTTGCCATGGAAAAATTTGAGACATGCCAAAAACTATTAAATTGTCATGCGATCAAGGAAAATTAAAATTTGCCATATTTTGGGTAAAGCATGTTCATACTTTGCCATGATACGTAAGGAAAACTCCATGTACTTGCCATGATACGTAAGATATTTGCACCGGAAAGACGCACACATGGCCCCCAGGGACCCAGCCACATCGTCGATGTTGAAGCGGTCTCCATTAATGGCCATTACGATGCTCTTGCTGAAATTAACTCTGAGTCCAGTGGTGTCTCCAAAAGCACTAAGGATAGATCGCAGTGCAAGCACCCCCTGCCGGACTGGGTTGAGGAGGATGGCCACGTCATCGGCGTACATGGAAGTGCAGTACGCCGGTACCCTAGCCCTAATCCTAGTAATGGCGACCTGCTATTATTTTTATTGAAGGAGATATCGACATAGTATCTTATAGTGAAAACACTGTCTTATCAAGGAACCACGCTTAATTTTGCCCTTGCTCTGTGATGCACCCTGCCGGCTGCCGAGTCGCCATTTTTGGCGCAGAACGACAAGAGCTGAGAAGAACAATAGAAGCACAATATGGACTTTTGAACCAAGTGATCATCCTTTTAATTGGGGTTAATGTCTGCATGCAAAATACAACTCCATTCGTTCGATACAGGATGCGTGATTAACTTAACAAAGTAGTACATTGTGGAAAGCAACAACTATCTATCTATCTATCTATCTATCTATCTATCTATCTATCTATCTATTGTAAGTGAGTGATGGATCATACATTACATTTTTGATCAGTCCCATGTTATATGTTAGGTTGTCTTGGTAAGTTATGTTATAAGAGAATAGCACCCCGACCTCTGCGTACGTAAGTCTGTGCTTTGATTAATTAGCAACCTAGGCCAATCTTGCCGCTCTTTTGTGCATCTACTCCCACTATCTATATCTCCCTCACGGTATTTTCAATGACGACCTACAAATTTTCTTCCACATCCTTCCATGGACAGGGGGACCAGTCCGCAAATACATATGCGAGTGGCTGCCATCCAAAGCTGCCTGCATACATTCGGCCTCCCTCATTTTTATAAAAGTCAGCACGTTCAAATAGCCGCATACATAGAGTTTAGACGTTCGAATAGCCGCATACATGGAGTACAGTCGTTCAAATATCCATATGCAGCACTAGTTCAAATTTTAAAAAGTTCAAATGTAACATTTCAACGTTCTTGTCCCCTTTAAGCGCCAATTGATGCTTTAGGGACCAGATCTTCCTCCAGCTGTTCGTGAGTTGGTTGATGCAGAATATTTTTGTTGCATTTGACTAAACTCTTCAAATATGGCAAAATTCTGGTCTAGAAGTTCGATAGGATCACCCATGTTGTCAAATTTTAGAGCCGCGGCAGCATCCTGACTCCCATCCTCGACGATCATGTTGTTCACGATCACACATGTCATCACCTCTCACAAGGTCTCCAGATCCCTTTGTTTAGCAGGTCCATGAACAACTGCAGAACGGTCCTGCAGAATTCCAAATGCCCGCTCGACATTCTTTCTAGATGCTTCTTGTCTTTGGGCAAAAGTGAGACTTTTTCAGGCCAACTGGTTAAACATAGTGCTGACAAAGGTAGCCCACAAATAATATATACTGCCAACCAGATAGTAGCCCATATTGTACTCATGTCAACCAGATAGTAGCCCACAGAGGAGCTTTTCCTTCGGCGAGCCTCACAAACAATGATGATCGCTGCAGCACATTGATGTCACTATGAGACCCGTGCATGCCAAAGAAAGCGTGCCAAATCCAAAAATTATTGTGATGCAACTGCTTCAAGAATTATGGTGGGCTTATTAACATGACACTGATATTGCCCTTGTACGACCTTCGGGCAGTTCTTTTATTTGCAATGCATATAGTCAAGAGATCTAAGCAAACCTCGTCACCCTCTTGCTTCTGAGGTTGCCAAGAGCCTCTCAGTGTTTGCCACAGTTGGTTCTCTCAGGTAATGATGTCCAAATACCTTGACCACGACAGTTGCAAACCTGACCATCCGTAGTTACTCGTCCCACGAATCATCTGCCGTACCATATGCAAGCATCAGATGTGCGGCCATGCTCTTGTGGTAACCACAGAAGCCAACCATTCCCACGACGTCCTTCTTCAAGATGAAGTAGTGATCATAAGACCAGGCGTCATGGTAAAAACGATCAAAGACAGTCTTGCACATCCGAAATCACAATTGGAAATGGTCAGCGGAGAGTGCACTAGGGGCCAAGTAGTCCGCCATCAGTGTCAAATGGTCGCGCGCCCTATTGCGTTGAGCACTCGATGGCTCTTGATGGATCCCCTTGAAATTGAGAACATCCTCCTTCACACACTCCACCTCTTAAATGATTGCTTGCATCATCATTGTCTCATCCGTGTAGTCCTCCTCGTCGGACAAGCCGTCAGACGACTCAAAATAGTGGTCGTATATGTACTCCAAATCGGAATCCATTGCTTGAAAGAAGAAGCAAAAACTTTTTTAGCTCCGGCAATTCATCGAATAGTTGACGGGCATGGTGAGTATAGCAGTAGCGGATAGTACCTGGCGGGGTGGAAGGAGGACAGGGGTTGAACGACGACGGAGGAGAAGCGGGGTGGAGCCCGACTAGAATACCGGTGGTGACGAAGACATAGAGATTCAGCGGGGGTGTGGCGTGACGGCCGGGGTGGTGGAGCTGCAGCGAAGGCAAGAGAGAAAGAAGGAAGGAGGGAAATGGGGAGGATGGAGGCACGAGTCCAGAAAGAGTTTTGGATGGGTCGGGGGTGCGGAGCCCTACGTGGTTGCTGCCCGAACTCCTGCAAGCCCCCCCCCCCCCATTTGTCTCGGGTTTGCCAGAAAAAGTACGTTTGGACCGCTCGGCGGACCGGTACACCCCCGCATTGGATCGCAAATCATGTCTAGACCACGCGGTCCGGCCAGTTGCGGGCGGTTTGAGGGTCTGTCTCTAAGATGCCCTGATGCATCAACTTTACTTCTCTGGTGCGGCTTCATGTTATGAGATACGCATGTATGCAGCACGTGTGAATCATCTATATATCACTGGGGACTTTGGTTCAAACAAGTGTGGTT